TATATATATATATATATATATATATATATATATATATAACTCTTATAAAGAGTATTTTTAGATTAGCCAGTGGAAGAATCTATCTGCCAGCTCAAAAGTCAAGGTGGACAAATGAGCTTATACTAAAAAGATGAGCTTACTTTACATACTAGAAAAATTCTGAACCAATTAATTTATTACTGTGTTATATAGATACATATATATACTTTATAGCATCGACGAAATCTTAAGTTTTATTTTTGTTGATATGTCTAAATATAATTCATATTCCACACCCTTTGAGCTTTGTATTTGTTACTTTACTTTTAACATACGATTTAGGTCATGATGGAAAAGTGACTTAAGTTGCATGCATCATCCAAAGGGAGGGGAGGCGTCCAAACTTTGATGACTTAAGTGACTTAGGGATTTTATTTATTTTATGTAAGCCGTATACTATCCTTAAGTGTCCGTCCAAAGGATTCACTTCCTTATAATCTTATATAGTCTCTTAAAGATTTATAAAAGTCAAAAAACACCTAAATACATTACATCTTTTTTACTTTACTACATATTTAATTATACTTTACCTATAACACACCTTTGACTTCAAATTGGTTTCGCCCAATTGCTACTTAATAGTCAAATATCGATCCACCAATGTTGTTTTAACTTGTGAGCGACTTTAACTCTGGTATAGAGTTGATCGAGTTGTGCTAATCTTCGTCAGTACCTATGAATTATTCTAGATAAGAAAAAAGATTATGTGCAAGTCTTTCGAACATTTTTACACCGACTAAACTAAATAGATGTCTGTTTGAACTTTAACGAGCATTGCAATATATAATTTAAAGTTTTACACCTTTATCCTAGTAAAATTCACCCATCGATTGCTCTTTTATTTAGTTAATTTCTTTAAATAGGTTTTGCATCATCTATGTTATCAACTATTATTTCATTAAAAAATAAAATAAAAACTACCATTGGTAGAACTGATCACTGTTCATGAGCATTTTACAACTATTATCCGTCACGAAGTAATTTTTGAAGGGTGTTCGAAAATATGTAAAGCTCATAGATAGGGTAATTAAGATAAATAAGGTTTATGATCCCACCCATTCTCAAGTTGAGAACCCCAAGCTTACTTAACTTACTCGTCTGCTTGAGGATTATATTTCATATATCAAATTGGTTATTGATCTTTCTCTTGTTATTATTGAACTTCTAGAATACAAGAAGTATTGTTCAAAAAGAGTAAATTTTCAAGTAGATTAGAGCAAATCTCTTATAGATATAGTCATCCATAAGGGACTGTATATTATCGAGCATCATCACATCGATTTAAAATATATCACTTTTAATTATTTTGATAAGAAGTTATTTGACAGTGATATTGTGAAGTCCCTTACCCACTGTAATATTTGTCACTGAATTCTTCACTTTTTTTTTTTTTTTTGGCCTTTACGATCATATGCTCTTCTCCCACAAAAGCATATCTCTTTTAATAAAAATATATTCTTATTTAAGTATTATTATTCCTAAACCAATAACCCAATTGTTATTAAAATTTGTTTCCCCTATATTAAGTTATCTCTTGTATGATGACTTACATATATCGTTTTCTAGAATGATTAACTATTTAATAAAAAAAAATTATTTAAAATCTTTTTTTAATAAATTGGTTTCAATTGAAGTTTAAGTCAATTTATATCAATTCTAATTTTTTTTATTTGCCTTACAATATGTCAGTGCAATGGAGAAAATATTATAAATCTATTCAAAATATTATAACTTATAATTTCTTATAATCAATATATAAGGTATGGGCTAATTATATATTCTCTCATATAATACTTTTAGTGTCTTGGTCTCTATACTTTAAAAAGTTGTATTGACATCCCTATAATTATGAAAGTGAAACATATATGTTCATGTACCTTAATAACGTTAGTTTTATCAATGGAAACATAAAAATAAAAGATAAAAATATAATTTTAATATTTGGTGGAGGACGATGATGTCTATGTAGTTGCATTGGCTACTTCAAATGATGATAAGATTTGGTCTCATCGTGATGCCACTTGCCCTCACGTGGAGTGTGCTATCGACCTCATCACTATCCTCCTCGTGTTGGCTGTCGTGGCGTCTACAGTGAAGATGATGGTTGTCATGATGTCTATGGTAAAGATGGTGGCCGCCGTGGCATCTATGACATAATGTTTTGCATCTTTGTCGTGGACATCATGGTTCGCCTCTCTCGAATTGGGTCGTTGGGTTTCCTTAGCATAGCTAAGACAACATCTAATGCATTTGCGATAACATCGATGCAGTTGTCGTAGCTCGACAAGAGGTGTTGTCGGAACTGATGTGACAACGTGGCGGGGACAAGCAACAGGAGCTTCGTGTCGAGGTTGAGATCTGCCTAATGGGTCAGTAGTAAGGTGACCACCACCATATGTGTCGATGCAGATACAAAGCGGCGCAGGACGAGCAACGACGAGTTATGTGGTGTGCTCCTCATGGAAGCAGTGGCGTTGCGGTGATAGCAGATCTTATCGTTGGAGGCGATCAAGTAACTATGTCGACATCGACATCATTGTCTTTCATCATCGAATATTAAAATTATCTTATTACTTTTTTTTATTATTGTGTTTCCGTCAAAGATGAAACTAAATAGATTTAGAAATTATACTTTTATAATTAGAGAGGTTAAAGATAACTAATTATGATAGTTTAGAAATTATGATAAACGTTAGATTTTTTTTAAAATATGAAAAAATATCTCTATAAAAAGCCCGATAAAAGATATATTTTCCGAAAATTCGTGCTTTCTTTGTTAACGAGGATTAATTCGAACATAAATCATAGGATTAATTCGAACAATATATTTCGAATATTAATTATTATTCCCAACTCGAGCCAATAATTAATGCTCGTCACGTCTGTAGATTAATCCCACCCAAACTCCTCAACTCCCAAGGATACGCGACCTGTTGACCCCATTCGATCACCAACACAAGCAACCCATCTTTGTTACCTCTTCGCCCTTCTTCCTCTCAACCTTCTCCCTCCTCGCTTTCCCCAAATCCTTGAGCGATGATCCCAATCCAACCTCTCTAACACCCAAATCCCCCCTCTCGAACAACGCAAGGCACAGAGAGCAGAGAGCAGAGAGAGGGAATGGCCGATGGGGAGCGGACTGCCTTTGGCGATCTCCTCAGACCCATCGCCGACCCGCCCGTCCGCCCCGACCTGATCTCCCTCTCTGCCTCCGCAACCGCCGCCGCATCCACCGCCGTAGACCCTCCGCATGGATCCCGCGCGGAGGCCGACCGGCTCGGTGCCTCCCTGAAGGAGCTCGCCGACGCCGACGCCCGCATCGTGTTTGTCGGCGACCCCGGCCTCACTGACCCCCGCCTCGCCCTCCCCGGTAACGCCGTCCGCACCGCCAAGTACTCCTTTCTCACTTTCATCCCCCGTAACCTCTTTGAGCAGTTCCGCCGCCTCGCCTACGTCTACTTTCTCGCCATCGCTGTCCTCAACCAGCTACCTCAGCTCGCGGTGTTCGGCCGCGGCGCCTCCGTCCTCCCTCTTGCGTTCGTCCTCCTTGTCACTGCCGTCAAGGACGCCTACGAGGACTGGCGCCGCCACCGCTCCGACCGCGTCGAGAACGGCCGCGCCGCCGCCGTCCTCGACCCCGCCGGCTCTGGCCAGTTCCGGTCACGCCGCTGGAAGGACCTCCGCGTCGGCGAGGTCATCAAGGTGCTCGCTGACGAGTCCATCCCCTGCGACATGGTACTCCTTGCCACCAGTGACCCCACCGGCGTTGCCTATGTCCAGACCATCAACCTCGACGGCGAGTCCAACCTCAAGACCCGCTACGCCAAGCAGGAGACCATGTCTCGTCTCCCCAACATTACAGCCGGCAGCATCACCACACTCATCCGCTGCGAGACCCCAAACCGCAACATTTACGGGTTCCACGCCAATCTGGAGGTCGACGGGAAGAGGGTCTCCCTTGGGGCGTCCAACATCATCCTCCGTGGCTGCGAGCTCAAGAACACAGCGTGGGCAATTGGTGTTGCCGTCTACACCGGGACCGAGACCAAGGTCATGCTCAACAGCTCAGGGGCGACCTCCAAGAGGAGCCGACTGGAGACCCACATGAACAGGGAGACGCTGCTGCTGTCCGCAATCCTGATCACCCTTTGCTCGGCGGTGTCCATCTGTAACGGGATCTGGCTGGCGATTCACAGGGACGAGCTGGAGCTCTCACAGTACTTCAGGAAGCGGGACTACTCTGGTGGTGACGAGAAGTACTACAATTACTATGGGATTGCCATGCAGGTGTTCTTCATTTTCCTCATGGCGGTTATCGTGTTCCAGATCATGATTCCTATTTCCCTCTACATCTCGATGGAGCTAGTTAGGCTTGGTCAGGCATACTTCATGATTCGGGACAAGAATTTGTACGATGAGAGCTCGAACTCGAGGTTCCAGTGTAGGGCTTTGAATATCAACGAGGATCTTGGGCAAATAAGGTATGTGTTCTCTGACAAGACGGGAACTTTGACGGAGAACAAGATGGTGTTCCAATGTGCAAGCATTCGTGGAATTGATTACAGTGAAGGGAAAGATCCATCCCCAAATGGCAGCGATGTGTATTATGTCGTAGGTAGAGTTGAGTTTACTGCATTTCTCTTATAATGGTTTGGTAGTTGACGTACATGCTGAATTTTATTTGTTCTTGTATTGAACTACATAATAGTTGGCGACCAGTTTTGGAGGCCAAAGATGCTAGTTAAGACAGATCCTAAGCTGGTGAGGCTTTTGAGAAGTGAAGGTGAGACACAGGAAGGGAAGCATGCTCGTGATTTCTTCCTTGCTCTGGCCGCTTGCAATACTATTGTGCCTCTTATTGTTGGGACTCCAGATCCTAAACAGAAGTTAATTGATTATCAGGGTGAGTCTCCCGATGAACAGGCATTGGTTTATGCTGCTGCAGCTTATGGGTATGTGCTTATAGAACGGACCTCTGGGCACATAGTCATTGACGTTCTTGGGGATAGACAAAGGTGGAGTTCTCTTCTTTGCTTGCCTGATTAAAATGATAGTCCTTGTTATTTAGTTTGTACATGACACAATGATATAAATGGTTGCAGTATTCATTCCCCATTAATCGGATTGGGAATTTTGGGTGGTAGATGTTGTCAAGTTAGAGGCTATTTTATTTTCTTATGATCCGCAGATCTTTCTTCCACTTATATTCATTAAGAATCTCTAAACGATGTGGACATATCCATCAACCATAGATAGTTACTGCAATCATGATTGCTAATGCTTCTGTCAGATAAAAATAAAGATTAGAAGAGCTAAATATCCATATATTTGTCGTATCACTGGCAGAGGTGACTGCGTGTTATGCATGCTAGGGTGTGCTATACCACGCCAATGCAGCACCTCACATGGCATTGTGAAATGTTACCTTACATAGGCCTTAGACATGACATTGCTTGTGCCAGAAAGTGACATCACACCAACAAGTGCTGAATTCTAATAGGGGTTTTGCTTTTCAGACACAAGATTTTTGGCCTTTTTGATGACACTCTTATTGTCTATGTTATTGCTTGCAATTGTTATCATTGACATTAGCTGCATCAGGGTTTATTACTTGTTGCATGAGCACTTGTTATCAGGTGTTCTAATAATAATGTTTGTGATAGTTGCCTTTAGGTGATTTTATCCTAATGCATATGTTGTATGCCAATTGAGTATTTGGTTTATCAATGGAATGACAAGTTTCCTTTTGTTACTCATAATTGCTAATGGTATTTGTGCTGATTTTAGTTAATCACAATATACCAGTTAGTAGAGTGGGTTTCATGCTTGCTGAAAATCTGCTGGGTTTAGCAGGATAGTCAACTTTGCTGGTCCTAGTGCTTGCTACTTCATTATCTTTAAACCTTTAATTACCAGTAACTCATATATGTGGTAGAAACATATTCATTTGTACTCATGGAATTTGCAGGTTCAATGTTTTGGGCCTTCATGAATTTGATAGTGACCGGAAGAGAATGTCAGTAATTATCGGTTGCCCTGATAGGACAGTAAGACTATTTGTGAAAGGTGCAGACAGTTCAATGTTTGGAGTTCTGGAAAAATCTGTAGATTTGGATATCATTCGTGCAACGGAGACTAATCTTCATGCCTATTCATCAGTGGGTTTGAGGACACTGGTTGTTGGAATGCGGGAGTTGAGTAGAAATGATTTTGAGGAATGGCACTCTGACTATGAGAATGCAAGTACAGCATTGTATGGCAGGGGAAACTTACTACGAGCAGTTGCATCTAGGGTTGAGAACAACCTCCAAATATTGGGAGCCTCTGGGATTGAAGATAAGCTACAGCAAGGCGTACCAGAAGCCATAGAATCCCTGAGGCAAGCAGGCATCAGAGTGTGGGTTTTGACAGGGGACAAGCAAGAAACTGCAATTTCCATTGGCTATTCTTGTAAGCTGCTAACAAGTGAAATGACTCATATTGTGATAAACAGCAATTCTGAAGCATCATGTAGAAAAAGTTTAGAAGATGCAATTGCCATATCTAGCAAATTTGTCGCAATATCTTCTAGGGCTCAAAATACTATTATAGCTACTGGATCTGCCAGGGTTCCTCTGGCTTTGATCATTGATGGTACGAGCCTTGTGCACATTCTGGAGACGGAACTAGAAGAAAAGGTATGTTTTCATGGATGCGGTTAACGTGTAGTTGGCAATATTTGGTTCCTTTTGCTTAAGAACTCATGCTATCCTACTCTTACTTGCTTGGCTGTGCAGCTTTTCAAAATAGCAACGGTTTGTGATGTCGTATTGTGCTGCCGTGTTGCTCCATTGCAAAAGGCTGGAGTAGTTGCTCTTATAAAAAAGAGAACAGAGGATATGACCTTAGCCATTGGAGATGGTAAACATTTCTAAATTTGACTTGTTGATTCTGCCTTTTCTGTATTTTATTGATAATGTGCTGGACCATAATAAGTATCAGTTTTTTCATCATGAACTGAACTGTATAAGAATATGCATTCAGGTGCAAATGATGTATCAATGATCCAAATGGCTGATGTTGGGATTGGCATAAGTGGTCAAGAGGGAAGGCAAGCAGTTATGGCCTCAGATTTTTCCATGGGACAGTTCAGATTCTTAGTGCCCCTTTTATTGGTTCATGGCCATTGGAATTACCAAAGAATAGCCTATATGATCTTATACAACTTCTACAGGAATGCTGTGTTTGTCTTCATAATGTTCTGGTAAGCATTCTCCTTGGCACTAAACAAAAAGAGAAGTGTCTTTGAAGTTTTTATTTGCACTTTTTTTGACCACATATGACCCTGAAACACTTGCATTTAGATTGGTTTTACTCAAACTTGAAGTTTCTATGGTAATTATTTTTCCCTTTTAGAATTTCATGTAGCATTTAATTTATTATTTCTTTGTCGTCCTAGTACATGCTTCCTCTAGCAGGTCACTGAGAAATCATTGATTGGACTCTGGAAGTCATGAAAAACAATAAAAAAGATTTATTTTCTTTTATGATGTCCATCTGTATCTGTTACCAGTTTTCTACTGCTTGATGCAACCTAGTTTAGAATTTCTTACTATTCACAGGAAACATAATTTGAATTTTGTGTATCATCAAGTGCCTTTTTTGAAGTGATGTTTTTCACTTAAAGCGAGCTGATTGTATATCTGTATGATGAATGATATGTAAACTAAATAGTAATTGGTGTAATTGTCGCATGTTGGTGAAGCCTTAAGTGAATCTTGTGATAAATCTCTAATTTTGGCATATGGGAAACATGAAAGTAAGTATTTTAGATTTTCTGGTCTTTTAGTCTAATTAATTTACATGCAGTTGGAGATAGTAAGAGGTTGGTAGTTTCCTTTTAGATCAATGTGACATTTAATCAGGAAGGTGTTTGCAAAATAACTTAGCAACTATTAAGGAACAATGAGATAAACAAGTTCATCCATTGACAAACTTACAGGAGATAAAGTATTGGGTTTTGGTGATTACCTGGCCAGGTAAATTGAAGAGACTTTGATTTGTACTGAGATATCATCCTTTGTTGCTTGATCATCAAATGTTTGCTGGAAATAATTATTGGTGAAAGTTTTGTCATATAGAACCGGTTTTACGCTGGTCCAAGAGAAACCAGGTTTTTTATTATCCAAGAGAAATGAAAGTTGATCTGTCTAGTGAAAATCATATGGAACAGCTGCTTGTTGTGATGAACTGGACTAGAGAGTCTCTAACTTATTTTGGCTCTAGTCAAGTAAACCATTATTACCCTTTCTAAAGAATGTTCTATTGCCACAAATATATTGTTTTATGTGTCGGTACAATGTTGAGTCTGTGGTATGCACCTAATTAAATATTTAGGTCGTTGTGTAGAGCAGACAATTAAAGTATCATGGCTTTGGGACATGAAAATAAAAAGAGGTTTTACATTCATTCTTTTTTGCTGTATTTATCTTCATTGTTTGTGTCATCTCTTCTACTACAAATTTTTTATTCCCTTTTCATTTGTTCTCACCATGCATGCTCCTTACTCAGTCCCAGTGATGAACTGGGATTGTAATATACTCTTGAGATTCTTTTGCACAGTACATGTCAGACTGAACTCCATGTGAAGATTTTGGTCCACAGCAGGGTTCCTCTATAAGGTCTGCATGAATTTTGTCTTCTTATTAACGATATATAAGTATTCGGGGTCTAAGATCTCAATTGAGATGGCCAATAATGTAAAATTGACTGATAGAATGTGATCTGAAATTCTATATGTTAAATTGTGGTCCACCTCTCATTTTCTCACAAGTACTTTCTTTATGAGTATTTCTATCCCTTGTTCTTAGAAAATCTAAATCTTGTGTCTTTATGCAGGTATGTACTGTATACGGCTTATACCTTGACAACTGCAATCACTGAATGGAGCAGTGTATTGTATTCTGTCCTCTATACTGCTCTACCTACAGTAGTAGTTGGAATTCTTGACAAGGATCTTAGCAGGAGAACACTGCTAAAGTACCCAAAGCTGTATGGAACTGGACAGAGAGAGGAAAGATACAACCTGAAGTTGTTTATCCTTACAATGATGGATGCAATTTGGCAAAGCCTTGTTGTTTTCTTCATCCCTTACCTGGCATACAGAGACACCACCGTTGATGGATCCAGCTTAGGAGATTTGTGGACTCTTGCAGTGGTCACTCTAGTAAACATTCACTTGGCCATGGATGTGTTCCGCTGGAACTGGATCACTCATTTATCTATCTGGGGTTCCATAGCTGTAGCTGTGATGTGTGTCATCTTGATTGACTCCATATGGTCCTTACCTGGTTACTGGTAATCCTCTTTTACATGCATGCCAGACCATATTTTTGTCCTTTTATTTGTGGGTCCTGTTCGGCTGCCACTTTGTGGCAGTATTAGCCTTCTAAGCTGTTATAGGTCAGAATTTAACAATAACAAATTCAATGTCACCATTAGATTCAATGTACCAGAAGATTATCCATAGCAAGCACTACCATGTGCACCTAATGACGATTAAGTTGCTTCTGTGATTACTTGAACAAATTTGCTGACACAATTTTTTTTATGTCAGGGCCATCTATCATATAATGAAGACTGGATTGTTTTGGTTATGCTTGCTCGGCATCTTTGCAGCAGGAATGATTCCCCGGTTCACAATGAAGGCTTTGACTGAGTACTTCATGCCTAATGATATTCAAATTTCTAGAGAACTAGAAAAGTTTGGTAATTTTAATGATTTCACTGGTACGGAAATTTCTATGAGCACATTCTCAGAAACCCACCCAGGGTTTATACGGTGATGTTTTGTTCTTCAAAATTTTCTTTTTCTTCTTATTTTTGTTTGTATATTAGTGTATTCTTTCTGCTGCTGGTCAGTGTTTCTTGCTGGCTGCAAGCTGGTCACATACCCAAAGTGATATATATCTTTGTCATGTGTGTATTTGTTTAACAGTTTCTTTTTTTTTTTTAAAGAAATGAGAATTAGGATCATATCACAAACTGGATATAAACATTCCAATTGCTTCTCTACTACCTGTGGTGCATTCTGATTCATGAAGTTGCTTCTCGTCGCAAGCTTGTCTAGCTGCAGTGAGTTGATTGTGTAATCCGGTTGCACCGAGCTGAGTCTTGTGCTCAAGCGTTGTTTTATCTGTTTCTTTTCATGATGATTTGGGTGGAGAGACTCTGTATAACATGTAATTGCCGTCGAACCCTGGAACTCTGTCCAAAAAGGGTGAAAGCCTACTTCCAGTTAATCTTCAGAAAAGGTAAAAGAAGCTATCCTCTCCTACTTGAGTTGGCAAATTATATTTGCAATCATCTAGTAGAGTTGTGATTGTATAGATAGAAACATTTGGTCTCCAGGGTTAGATGTGAGAATAGGCCTCTAGTGCTAATGAGGGGCATTTGAGCATGTTTGATCACATGCGGTCGATGGCTTGTTATGCATGCAGTTTTAGTCCATTGTGTTTCCATTTACTTCCAGGAGGTGATTACTGTTGGAATTATGCATCATGGTGATGAGTGAACAACATGTTCATATCTTGTGGTATGAGTGATTAATCATGTCACATTCTTCTTCATTTATTCAATCTAACCTCTCATTTTCCCCTCATCCTAGAATCCTTAAAACATCCGAACTCAAGAATATATCTATATCTGTGATTTGATTGTCATGTGTAATACTTTTGATCAATGTGCAACAGCTGGCAATGAGCATGAGAAAGAGAGAGAGAGAGAGAGAGAGAGAGAGAGAGAGAAGAAAGGCATGTAACAATCAGGCCATTGTCTTGGTGATAGCAGAAAGATCTAACATCAGCATATAGATCCTGTTTTAATGTGGATAGATTTGTTGTGTTTTCAATATTTCTAGTCCAAAACATTCCAATTTGTTATCACCATCAGTAATCTATAATCATAATAAAGATATATCACATTACGTTAAGACTTTTACCAGTGTCGGATCTACACTTGGAAGGAACATAGAGATTATTCTCGTGATTGGAATCTTCATCTGATTACAACACGTGACAGATAGAGAAGAATGTAGTGAAAAGTAATCAGAATTTAATGTTCTTGTGGAGATCTGATGCACACCTTCCATTTGGTTCCCATGATGAAAAGCTAGTAGTGCTTTCTGATTCACCATGCACACTGCAAACATACTTGAAAGTTTCTTCTGACTCGTGCAAGAGACATCAAAGCTGCATGGAAGAGACTTTATGCGCCGCTACAACAAAGTTGGACTAAAAGCACCGAGTTTGGTCGATTTTTGACGTACGTGTAAACGTAGCTTCAATTCCTGTCTTTTCCTTCCACTGCATGCCTGGCATGTGAATCGAATGATGACTTGGTTCTTCCTTCCATCCCCAACACGCCGCATTAAACCCTTATTTCTTCTACTAATGGAGTACTTGACCTGCAGCTTCTTCTCCTTTGTGTTGGCAACTCTGGATGTTGTGGTCGAATGCCAAAACAGAGTGGTTTTCATTTGTCTATGCAGCATCTCAAACACTAAAATTAGGGTTTAGGAAGCAAATACATGCGCGCGCACACGCACAGAGAGAGAGAGACAGAGAGAATGTAGCACGTTGGTGTGGTGTTGGAGTGAGTTCCCCACTGCCATGCCATGAGACCACGAGAGTCACGTCTGTCATGCAAAAGAGGCAACACAGCACTGGCCTCGGAAACATGTCCAGGATTCAGCAGCTACCTGCGTCGGCATGGTGGAAACACGCCTGCCCCCATTTCCCAAACCCTACGAGCCAAAAGCTAGTGGCAAATCCATCGTCTCCCAGTCAAAGGAGTCGGGCATTCGATCGACACGGCATCCTTTCTCGGATGCATCCATTCGATCCGTAAAGGAGGGGTAGACGTAACCCACACACTCATTCCATGTTCTTCGTTGACAGGATATGACTGCGAGATGATGTCTATGTGGTCTGTAGCTTTGACACGATGCGACTTTCCTGCACCCAACAACATCTTCCATCACATCCCCCACACCTCCATTATGTTTGTGGCGTGACATTCATTTCCCTGTGCAGGAAATCTTGCAAGGAGGAGATCGAGTAGTGGTCGAGAGACACCGAGCGAGAACCCTCGGTTTGGCTTTTGGGAAACATGCTTTGAGAAAGGAAGGGTTTGGGTTTTAGAGAAGAGTGCACTGTGGAACATGGCAACCGAGCTTAGCCTCCGTTGGCCCCATTCGCACTTAGACTGCCTTATTCCCGGAGAAAAAGAAAGACCAAGGAAACATGACTCCTTATCATTGCGGAGATTATTCTATTTCACATGACCGGCCTCCCATAATTAATCATACATAGGAGGAGGAGGGCATACTATGACAACCTTTCATTTAAATTGTTCTTGTCAGCCCACTCCATCTCCATCTCCATCTCCATCACAAAACATGGTATCTATGGAGGAAAGAAGAAGAGCACATGAAATGATCGAGTTAATGTAAGCATCCTCTCCTCCTATCATAAGTTGGATATGGCTGTGCAGCAACAGAATTCGATACTACAATCCATTTAGCAGCTTCCGACAATTAGCCAAAAGGTTGTTTGTTTGCGTCGATCTCGGTCAGATGAGCTTCATCGACTATTTATTATACGACATGGGGAAAGGAAAGAAGTGGTGATTGGAAGATGCTTCATCCATATACATATCACTACCGATAATTCTATATGGTTTGCCGATAGCTTTTACATTTACGCTCACCACCAACTTTCTCGGCAATAAAGAGAAGTCTTGTCGCAGTTCAGATGGCTATTTAATTGATGCTGACAGAGAATATGGAAAGCAACCGAGCATCTAATCTAAGCTCGAGGAAAAGAAAGAAGTTGGCGAACTTACGACACCCATGTTCTATATCATCATACAGAACCGCAAGTGAGGTTAGACTAATCAGAGTATGGCACATGGAGACGCCAAAAAGCAACCAGGAATCATTCCATCAGATAGCAGTAATCTAATGGATCATACAACTTTGCACCACTCGTCTTTGTTTCTTTCTTTCTTTCTGAGGTTGCATATATGATCAAACTCTCTTGGCAATAATCTAATATTTCCAGAACATATATTACAATTCTTTTAGTGGATTGATCAAAGGAAGTGCCTAAAAGACAAGATTCTTTTTTTTATGTTTTACTTTTGAGCAAAGAAAAGCCACTTTAAATTCCTCCTTTCTTGGTTGAGTTTGGTTCATGAACAAAAGGATTGGATTCCACACAGCAGTCCTGCAAGTTATACTGCTTTGCATCGATTGTTCTTGCCGGTGAAGGATTATGGATCTCATTCTTCGTGACTCTTTCTGCCAGTTGATGGTAGCAGCACGACTGTCACAAGTCCCGAGGTTTCATTTGGACTATGTGATCGGTAACCCCAGAATAAAGGATTAATCTAGTCGTGGTGAAGAAGATGAAGACTTTTACCTAACGTATGTATCCAAACTATATCCTTTCGAGGTAGAAGACAATCTAAATCTTACCTGGGTTTGTGCCTCCATGTTACCTGAATACTTTAAGCTTCGACTTCTATCATGAAGGAGAGAAAGGAATTGTATTGCTAGATTCAACCAGCAGGTTCTGAGACATCCAGAGATCGCCATTATAGTATGAAGAGCTTGCCGGGCTTTCGTTATCCTCTGCGTCAGATTGCCATTGTTTATGTACGTATGCTCCGCCACAGGCCATGGCAAGAGACATCCGTTTCCAGTGTATGTGTGCACGTAGAGCTTTCACGTACACAACGGTGCCGTGTCTGGTTAGCGAACCCTAGAAAGAAATCTGAACTCCGTTGCAGTCAAAACATTTCACCGTTTGCCTTTAGATTTCTTCTGTCTGGAAGAAGACATCTCAAGCAGTTCATTTGGTGATGGACAAGTTCAGTTGGTGATGATGAAGAGGAAGAGAGAGAGAGAGAGAGAGAGAGAGAGAGAGAGAGAGAGAGAGAGAGAGAGAGAGTGTGTGTGTGTGTGTGTGCACCATGGCCTTGTGGTGGCTGAGGATGGAGGCAGAGGTAATACTGTGCAGGTAAAACCCAGCCGAGCCTCCCTCCGCAGTCTCCGCAGCGTCGGTTTCCGCTGTGACAAAAGGGCAAAGGCAACCGAACTCCCGGCCAACCCTTCGCCTCCACCCACCCACCACCATATTATATTCTGTCGTCTGCATGTCTTCTTCTACCTCCGGCTGGCATGCCCACGCTACGTCAGCCCTAGTAACATCAGGGGTCCCACTCTTTGACCACTCCCCTTGGGTGGTGTCGCATCTTGGTGGGGCCCGCCGTCTCCCCACGCACCTCGTCCCCACCCCTCCCACCCACTAGCGTACAAAGGCCAAACCCTAGCTTCCGACCCTGTCACATGAGGATGACCTTGCCGAAGGGGGCCCCACATGTCCCCCCTTCCCTTCCCTTCCCTTGGGCACATGAAGTGGGTGGAAGTGAGCCTAACCCTAGGAGAGAGGACATGCACATGCTTATGATACTGGAGATACTGGAGCTAGGGTTTCATTTTTGGAACCCTAGCTACATGTTCATGTTCATGTTCATATACATACATGGCGCTTCCGATTGCTTGCACACTGAAACTGATATCAGATTCCATCTTCTCCACAGTGCTATCTCATCACAGCATCTAACAGCAGCAGACAAGAAGATTACCCTTCAACTAATTGCCATAAGCATGCATAATTACGTGCATCATATGTGATCACCTACTGGTTGTAGTATTAGAGCAAAGCTACAAACAAGTCATAATCTACATGACAAGATCACTGCAGATGAGACCATTTTGGTCATTTCATTCCCCCTAATCACATCAGATAATTAATCTATTGGGACATTCTTCCACAAAGTGCCTATAAATAACTCATCACACTTTGTACTGAAACAGTTTGGTGGTGTTACTCTCACCTTTGTTTCCTTCACCTTACCCTCCTCCTCTCCCCCATCACCACCCACTGAAGCCATGGATGATCAGAACCAGGACAACTATGGCGGCCCAAACCTGCAGAGATCTGCCATGGAGCCGCTGCGCACCCGGTGGACGCCGAAGCCCGAGCAGATCCTCATACTGGAATCCATCTTCAACAGCGGCATGGTGAACCCTCCCAAGGATGAGACGGTGAGGATCCGCAAGCTGCTGGAGCAGTTCGGCTCCGTCGGGGACGCCAATGTCTTCTACTGGTTCCAGAACCGGCGGTCGAGGTCGCGTCGCCGCCAGCGGCAGCTACAGGCCAGCCTCATGGCTGATCCGAGAGCCGCAGGGGTTGTGCAGCATGCCAGTGGTGCAGCAACCTCGTCATCCAGCAATTCTCCCGCAGGAGGATTCTTTGCTTGCTCTTCTTCTACTTCTGCTGCTGCCTCCTCCTCTAACTTCGTGATCGATGATAACGCAGACGACCTCTTCTCGATCTCTCGCCAGATGGGCTTCATGGAGGCCACTCAGGCTCCTCCTTTTATGTGCTCTTCTGATGTCTCGCACTTGCACAACCAGCCAGGTCAGTCGGTGCATGGTTTCGGTGTCTCTGACAACGATATGGCCTTTTCTTTAGATTCTCCATGAAGATATGAAACAAAGATTGCTTGGAGCTCTTCTTTTCATCAGCAATAGATGATGTGCTGCAACCCTTTCTTTAGTCAACACCTTTTAGAGTTGATAGATTGATCGACTGTCATTAGACTTGTTTGCTTTCTTCAGTTCACTTCCCTACTAAATGTCTAGATCTGCACATTCAACCTCACAGATCCATCTAAATCTTGAATTTTTCGGCTTCGAAATGTCGATTTGTGTTCCCGATCTCGCTAGCAGCAAAGTTTCCGATAGATCCATCGGATGAAGAGAGATCATTGATGGCCTAACCCCAAATCAATTAACCTTAATTTTCTTTTCCTCGTTCATCAGCAAATTAGAAACAGTGGGGGGGAAAGAAAAAGGGAATCGAGATCTAGCCTTGGCTTCAGTGAACCGAACATATGCATCAAAGTGTTGGTGTTATACTTTTGCCTAAACAAGGAAAGAACATGTTCTAATGATCTAAAAAGCATTAGCTGTTATTTGATTTTATGTGATTCATTAGCTACCATCAAAGGTTTTGCATGAACACACTCGCTCTCCCTTTGAGGGTTGAAGACATCTCTCTCTCTCTCTCTCTCTCTCTCTCTCTCTCTCTATATATATATATATATATATATATATATATATATATATATATATATATATATATATATATATATATATCCTCATGAATTCACATGAAACTTCACTTTCTTTGTTATTTTGCGGTGATGTTTTCTTGCAATCCCTCGACTTGTTTCAATCACCAAACGCATCAAATGCAGAGACTATAACTGTGTTCATCGATGGAGTCGCTTCTGAGGTTCCAAAAGGACCTATAGACTTGAGAGCTGCCTTTGGTCACAATGTGATGCTTGTCCATTCCTCCGGGCAGCTTCTACCTATCAATGACGATGGAATTCTCATGCAGAGCTTGCAGATGGGTGAAAGTTACTTCTCGGTGAGTAATTCTGATCCACTCATCTCTCTCTCTCTCTCTCTCCTTCAATCGTGCACACATAACAAACGTGTATCGATATCGCAATTATCTTGACAGGTTACAAGGCCTACTTAGCAGTTTGATCGAGAACACAAGATGCACAGTGTCCAGACTCGAAGCTTATTTCGCTGCCGTAGTATCTGCAGACTGAATCATCCTTGTTATTCTATGTCAAACTTCTATGGTTAGAGAAGGTGTAACCTTGCACTTGTTATGATCATGGTTGTCAAGAACTTGAAGTAGGGATTTGTTTCCAAGTAGCAGTTGATAGAGTGCATCTTAATGTTTCTCGATCATTTTCGCGGAGTAGAATTCTGGTTCTGCGCTTGTTATCAATGATCAAAACCTATGTGTGTCCAGATCTCCAAGAATCACAGCAACAACATGATGAACAATTAGGTTTTTGCATTTCCATCTCATGCATTTTTCTTTCAATACAATAGACTTTTGTTATGTCACCTACATTCAGTAATTCATCAAGTTCCTCCTCCTCCTCCTCCTCCTCATCATCATCATCATCTTTGATTGAGAGTTTGTTGATGAGCAATGGCTTGGAAACACATACTTACAGTTAAAGTCAACTTAGGACAACATCAAAATTGTTTTGGCACATGAAATCTGTGTGGAAGTTGACAAAAGGCCTCAAGACTCTTGCATGAGCTTGTAGACTTCCTGAGTTTAAAGTTCTTGGAACCACTTAAATGGACAGATTAGTGATTATTCTGAGAAAGAAACAAAGTCAAAGATACTATCAAGAAATGACTTAATTGGTGCAATTGTTTATCGAAATAAACTCGAAGTCTCCTCTTCCGGAATCCTTTCATCCTTGATGATTGGCTATCTCTTCTTTGCTTCATCTATTGCTTTTAATCTCCCAAATTCACTATGCCGATGCTTCGATATAATCATCCTAAAGAAACTCTAAACCTTCTAAATCAAGACTTTTTTTTATAGAAAAAACTCAAAAAATACTTTAGAGTAATCATATTGTTTGGTCTTCTTTAACTCGAGCTTCCTCCATATCAAGATTTCAAGAGCTTCTTTTCTTTATGACATATATATATATATATATATATATATGTTTTGATGATGTTTAATAGTGATTAGATATATGATGTTCTTGTGTCAACCACAAACATGTATAATAAAGAAGAATTGTAGACAAAACAATTCTAGAGAAGAGAAGATTAAGATGATTGCTTTGTGTGAGCAGCTTTCTCCAAAAGATTAAGATGGCTTCGCTCCTCTGCAAGTGTTCATGCAAAGATCTGAGAGCGTTAATCCACACTGTCCTCAACAGGTGTTTGCATGTGCAATGCATGAGACTCTCCTAAGCCAAAGGATGTGTGTTTCCCAGCGTTCATGGCATCGTAAATCACCAGAAGAACTACACGAAAAGATATATAGTCACAGTTCATGATCGTACGTTTTAGAGAGACAGGATACATGAATGCATCTGTTTCCTACGAGGAACCATAAAGAGCGAATTCTGGTCACAATAGGTTTCTCTTTAGTGATGGGTTCTTACTGCAATGATAGATAAAGTGCACAGTGTTCCTTCTCTTTCTACTTCTTCTCTTCCCTTTTCATCCTGTGTTATCTTCGATCCGAATAGCAAGGAAAGCCATCAGCCGTGATCATCGAGTTTTACCCGAGTGAAAACTCATGCATCATGTCATGTGAACTTTGACATCTTAATTATTACCTTGCTCGAGCAATTTCTGTGTGTCTTTTTGAGATCTTATTCGTTCTTCTTGGACACAACAAAATGGCATTTGAATGCACAGACTTCCAGTCTTTTCTTTTTGTACCTTGGAAACAGGAACTAGAGCTAAAGAACGCCTCTCCTTTCAGTAGCATGCATGGATAGCATCCCAGGGGAGTTTCTTGTGACGCTCACCGGTATTAATGCCTTTGTCGCCACTCCCAACACCATGGAAATGCCCCCAATGGCTGCTTTTGCGAAGGCTCTACAGAGCTTTGCTCCCTTTTGGGGTACGTAGGGGACTCGAACCACTATGGAGAGAGCCGAGTGGCGACGTGGGCTTTCCTACACCCTTCAATCCTTCGAATCCATCGGGCGTTGGAACTGCTTGATGTGCTGAGCCGGTCGTATGGTTCATACGTTGTATGTGAAGTTGCAGAACCAATATTGATCCCATCAACTGGAAACTCATGTCCTACATTAACGAGAACAAATGTTCTTTGCTACTCCATGAACTCTACCAAGCTCAATTTGATTCTTCTTAAGGAGGAGCAAGAAGAAGACATGAACTGATTTGTGGATCTTGGTCTGCTTAACTCATATCACAAGCCTCAAGGCAGGGTTACATCCCCTCAAGAGATTCTCTCTATCTCTGGTTGATTTCAGTAACCAACCAAGAAGTGATCAAGACAGTTTTATTACGTGATTGCATGATTTGGACGAGCACTCGAGTTGATCGAAGAAGCCAACCGACGTTTGTGGCTCTGAAGCTTCATTGTTAGAGAGCCATGAAGGTTCATCACCATCCAAGCTTCATGTTGGCATGGATGTGTGAATGTGAAGGTACGGCCCAATCGTATGCTATTCTGGGCATCAGGTGTTCTTAGGCTTTGGGACACAGTTTATGGAGGAAGGAAAGGAGAAGGCTTCTTTGGTTTCTTCCTCCTTGTCTGTGAAGCAAAAGAAAACACAGTGTTCTTAGAATCTTGGATCATAGAAAAGGAACCAAAAGGTGGGCAAGCTAATTGGGTAGAGAAAGGTGCTTGGCAATGGAGGTACATTAATCTTGGAGTTCTTTAAGAATAAGGAAATTAATCTTGTAAAGTGTTGTAAATTATAATTTACATACACATCATGGAGTCCTGTAAATCCTTTACTATGCTAATGATTGATGTACATCGGGTAGGATTTGCCTACAAACATAAAACAATCTTATGAAGGCACAATAGAAGAAGAATTTTTAAGATCTCCACCTCCCAATGCTCCAGGAAAGAGAAGAAACAAGTGCTGTGTTCAGGTCATCAATGGTAAGCAGTGTTCAGAAGCTTGGCATCTGAGTTGGAACTCTTCATTGGCATCCATAATTTTTAATGGCTTCCTGAAACCAATTGCAGAACCAACCACCATCGCCCATCAGATTCTTCCCAACCACTACCTTACAATACTGATCTCATGCTTTGCATTGAAATATGTCAAAAGCTTTTTTATGATCTTAATGATGATGAACCAATGCCATTTTCCACAGGCCACATGTGAGGAAGGTTCATGTTCTCTTCCTTGCTTTTTAGCTGTGTGGGTGCAGTGTCTGGCCATCATCAACGGAGCTGAACACAGAAGCTGACAAGTGATGGTGTTCAGCAAATGATCTAAATGCTTTGGATGTCTGTCTCATGGTGTGTAGCAGAGTCAATGTAGTACTGTCACTGAAGCACCACAAAAATTATTAGGAAGATGACAACAAACACTTGGAATGATCTAAACAAAGGAGAAAACTTGGCCTTTTTCCCTGTACATAAACTCATGACCACCAGCCATCGGTCTTGTCAGAACCAGCAGAGGTCGTCTTTAGGCTGTCAATCTGGAGGAAGAGGAAGTTTATTGTGCTTATGGAGCAGAAGAAGCCTCTGAGTCATCTCCTAGCACTGCTGCTCCTTTCATGCCTTCTCTCCGTGGATGCAGCTCCCCTTTCAGGTACGGTTCTCAGAGGACCCTCATAGGTTTCTCTCCTCTGTGAATCCGAGTGTTGATCTCTCTTCTCTGGTTTCTCCTGCAGGAACGTTTGCACTAAAGAACCAAGATGAAGCAGAAATGAAGGTGGCAGATCAGGTTCTTTCTTCATCCCCAACGTAGTTGTCAGATCTGTCTTTGCTTGAGCCATTAGACAAACCTTCTGACGAAGCAAACTCCAAATGATTATTTCCTTGGAACATTTTAGGAAGATTACAAATTTCTTGGTGCAGGTGATCAACAAAGAAACGCCAGAAGAGGGAGGAGTTTCTCTGAATGAGAGGATGGACTTTGAACTCGATGACTACCCTGGATCTGGAGCCAACAGCCGCCATGATCCTAAGAACCCTGGAAAACCATGAATTGAAAGTGATCATGGCAACTTAGCTTTGGCATGTAATATGATTAAGTAGCAATCTAGTGCTAGATTCTATTGGAAACAACACATCTTGCATCAATGTCCACTCGGTGGTGAGGCAAAGATGTCACAGATACTGCTAATAACTCATAGGTTGTAAGCTTTTTTATCTTGGTGAGTTAAAAGAGGATGTGTAATCAACTTAAAAGGTTCTTCATCAAAGTCTAAAGTTGTTCCTAGATTTGGATCTTCACTGAAGTCATAACTCATTTATATCTATCTACTGGTTAATCTTATCAAACAAGCTGAAGTTGTATGAGGTGTTCATTACATACCATTTATAAGCATTAATTAAAGGATATATCAGCACTATAACAGTGTATAAAAGAAAATTAATATTAGAGCAAATTCTCAAAAAAAAAATCTTTTTTTTTGATTTTTTTCGAAAAATGTCTCTCATTTTTAGAATTTCTAACACCTTTTTTCCCCCCTAATAATCTTTTACTATAATATTATAAATTACAGTAATTTTTGATATTATATTATAATATTTTCAATAATATAAAAACATAGCAATATAATTTTTTTAAATATTATATTTATAATATAATATAATATAATATTTGTGTTATAATATTTTCAGTAATATCAGAAAAATATTATGATACATATAAATAAAACACTGTGTTTTAAATAATATAAAATTATTATATTTATAATATAGTGTTTGAGTGATATACTGTGTTATAATATTTTCAGTAATATCAGAAAAATACTGTAATCTCAATATAAAACACTGTGTTTTCTCTATTTTTTTCCTCCTCAAGTTTTTAACCAAACAGTCAAATTATTTATTGAATATTGCAGACATTAATTCCTAAATTGTGGTAAGAAAAGAGGGAAAAAAGGCCACTATAAATCGCCTTCCGGTGTTTCATGCAACGACAGTAGCTCAGCGGTTTAGCTATCGATCGCTTAGAGGGTCTACGATGCACTGCTCCTTTCTTGTTTCGATCCAATTCTTTCCCTTTGTCTTCCGCTTTGACATGCCAGATCTTCCGGTTTCTTGGGATTGTTGGGATTTACTTGATACGTCTTTCTTGATTCAAAGACGGTTCCTTTTTTGTTTAGATTCGTGGATTGTGCGCTGTGTTTCGTCTTTGCTGGGATTCTTTTTCTCGGTGCTTCTTGATTTGCGATTCTCTTCGATCACTACGAGGTCTACGATGCACTTCCCCTTTCTTGTTTGATACCTGTTTGATTCCTTTCATTTTGTTTAGATTCGTCGATCATCCCCCGTGTTTTCATAAAAGAAACCCTTGGGTTTCTTTGGGATTAGGGATTTAATCGATAGATGCATTTATCGATTGGATATTCCCTTCAGAAACTGCTAGTTTATCTTGTTTAGATTAAATTTTCGTTTCGTGGATCATAGTTCGCCCCAAAAAGGGATTCTTTTTCTCGGTGTTTCTTGATTTGCGATCCTCTTCATCACCGTACCCAGTTTGAGGTCAAAAGGAACCCTTTCTGGTTCTTTTCGGCACTTTCTTATTTTGTCCTGATCAATTTCTGGCACCAAATGGTCAAGCGATCCGCAAGAATTAAGGGACCTGGAGATTTGGGGTTTCTTGACATCTTTCTGTGACATGTCTTTCTTGATTGGAGATTCATTCACTGCTGAATCATTTTTTCGTGGACTAACCCTTATAATTTGTTCCAGCGTGGAAATCTTTCGCCCTATTTTTACAGTGATGACATCGTAGTTTATTTTATGCAATCAAAAGACCATTTTTGTATAGCCGAGTAATTTACTTGCTTTTATTTTATTGATAATAAACAATAAGTGGGTACAGGGATCATATTTACTGGTGTAGTTTTCAGATCAATCTACCATGTTACATGATTAGAAAAATAGGGGGAAATTAGAGGTTAGTAAGATCATGATAAATTCACATTGAAGAAAAGAGGTGCATAAGATATTGTATAAGAGATATCTGCTTCAACATTTACTTCAAAAGAAAAAAAAAAGATATCTTTAACGGTGTTTGTTAGGATGTGAATGCTTATTAAATTGGGTATAATTGGGATCACATGTATGAAAAATTATGCGAGGTGGCTATCTTGGCAGCATGCTGATACCATTATGACTCCACATTCACCTTTTAGCACTGTTCATTCTTTTTCATTATTCTCAATGCGTATACTCAATCATTTATCTCTGGAATCAACTTGTCACTTATTTTGCATTTTTCTTTTACCAACGGGCACTTTTTTCATCTCTCTCTCTCTCTCTCTCTGACAAGCATTCTGCTCCAAACATCAGTTCCAACTGAAGCCATTCAGGTCAAATTGTTTACAACTTGATGCAGCTTCATCACCTACATATATTTTTAGCTCTAGTTCTGTTGCAAGACATGGGAGTGCAAATCCATCTGGTTGCTGTCTATTCTCCTGTTGAACTGCCGTGCTCTTGCTTCTTGGATGCTCAAGAAAATTGTTTACACCATCTCTTTCCTTTCTTCCTACATCAGGAACATTTCTACTGTCTCTATTGTCTTCTTGAGGCTTAACGCTTGCTTGTATAATGTTTTTGTCCCTCTGGATTGGGAAAGAATTCCTTTCTGAATCTCTTAAAATGGATGAAGCCTTCTGCTCATTCAGATTATTACACCATGCCTGTTGAGTCTGTCCAATCCTGGTATGTTCTCCAATTATTTTCATGCATAAGGGAAATTCTTCATGTTGAGTTGTTAACCCCTGGCTGATAACTTGCTCCTTCTCCGATCCCTTAGATGAGATCAAACAACAATCCGCCGAACAATCAGTGAGTTGGGCCGGAGTTACCTGTAACATAGGTTGGTTATTATTTCTTCCAGACTTGCAAATGAATTGATGAAACATTCACTTGAGACTTTGGAGACCAGTTCAGAGATTTGGATTTTGGCAACTTCCAGTCCCGCAGAACCCAAGTCCTGCTTCCTAAGAGTCTCTTGGGCCTTCTCCAGCACTGACTGCAAATTGTGTATTGTTTGTTAGTATAATGTAACAACACATTATACTAGGGAAATTGGATTTTGCACCTTTACAACACAGTATAATGTAACAACACATTATACTGTGTGTAACAACACATTGGATATGCAACAACACATTATAATGTAACAACACCAGATTTGATTTCGTTGTTCTTCTTACCTTTTTGCCCTCACTTTGCTCCTGCTGCTTGTTTCCAATTGGAACTTCAAATCTGTTTGTTTCTATGCTGACAACGTAATATTTCTAGAGAGCTAGGACATGTACATAGTTATGTCCTATATGTATTCTCTTCTTGTTTAGGAAGGAGCTTGAGCTGCCTCAACTCTCCACATTGATGAGAGATGCCTCCAAAGCTCTCCTTATATGGCAAATGGAAAGAAAATTTGGAATCAGTTGAACAGAAACTCAACTATTGATCTAATCTTCACAACTCGAAAAGTATGTCCTTCCTGCTTTAAGTAATTGTGGATTCAGGCCTGTAACTTTCGTTGTCAATGTTCACAGGTTAAAGCTTCAACTAGTGGTACAGCTTTAGCTTCCTTCATGTCCATGGAATAAATCCATAAACATTCATTATTATAGTACAATGGACCGTGGAACAAAAATTAGGAACCTTATGCTCTTGAGCATAGGTTTCGTACAGAAAGGTATACAATCTGATGTCTTCAGAGCTTGCAAAATTTCCATATTCCTTAACTATTTGTAGTGGCTCAGTAAGCAGATCCCTCACATTTGGAAACCTTATTTTTCTGGGACCTGAATGAACAACTTAGGTGTTTGGTCTATGATGCATTGGGATCTCATGGAAGTCTAGAGTTGGATAATATATTTGCAGGTGGTAGAGATTTGTCATTCATAGAGTTGATTGAGGAATTTTTGTCAGTTATATTAAAAAGTTTTTTTTTTTTGGAAAAGGAGTTTTATTAGAAAGTTGAAAATATTGTTTGAATGGATGCATCCGGAAGGAGAATTACTCGCATATTTTCTGTAAAGATGGGAAAACTCTACTGTACATGATGCTCTTATGTACATTCTGAACACAAAGTGATGGAATGAAATAAGGATTTAATTCCCTCTTGTCTCCTCCACTAAGTATGATACTTATTTGGCTGTCCCGAGGTACAAAAAAAAAAGGGATAGATTCTGGAAGTCGTCACTCTAAGCCAATTGTTGATCTGAGATTTATTAATGGAAGGAGAACAGAGCATAAAGGCAAACATATATATTCTATTTCATTCATACATCATAGCTTGCCGAATGGCTGGACCGCTTCATTTCCATCAGCAGAAGCTAGATAACCATGCACAACTATTCATGTTAGTTTTCATGTGTACGTACTTGGCATTTGTTGCATGGTTAAGTGCAAATATGGTCATAATTACTCAACTCATTTCTGCCTACAGGACCAAGTCAAGATCACAATGCAAAGGGTAACACTCTAGATATCCTCCTATTAGGTATCAAACTCCATTACATAGAACTGTTCTATGAATGCGTGATATGGAATACATTTATGGGGAAGAATTGACCATCATTTTATCTTGTACCAGAAAATATTTTTTATAGTATCTTTTGCAGAGGCAGTTGATCAGAGACTTACACCTCAGGTCTTTTTGTTGTTCCGGAGGTCTGCTGAAACATTTGATTTGCTCATGCCTTAAATTGGGGGTAGAAACTTTTTCTACCATGTACAATGTGAGAAATCAGCTCAGGTCATACATAGGCATTTAGATATATAAATTTCTATCCAGTTGTAGACCCTTGAGTCTTGAATGTACGTAACTGTGAGGTATTCTTTTGTGGCTGTCATCCCTAGAGCTTCAACTTTTTTTTCTCTGTCTCAATGCATTCTGAAGCATGTCTTTTCAGGAACATCTGGCCAAGTTCATATTTCCATGGATTGAAACAAAGATTCTTGATTTTTCTTGTTTTTGTTTGTATGTAAAGACTGCTTGTTGTAGTTGTAGCTACCTCCTGCTTCTTCTAGACAGTATTTACAAATAACAAGATAGCAATCTTACATACAGTGTCATTCTTCTCCATTAACTCAAGTGAGATTAAAAGGTCCTCATCATTCATATCTAGAATTTATTATTCATGGAACGAATATTATTCCCCTAGAATGAGGATGAGATTGGGCATAAATTGTTCTCACCATCAGATAACCAGAATATATTGCATGTTTCATTGAGTGGTACATGAAATTGTTTAATTCTTCTGACATTCTCCACAGGGAATATCTCCAACCGCCTCCCTGGTCAAAAGAATGGCAGGAATCAATAAAGTTCAGATCACTCTTTTTTCTTGAGAATAAAAAAGAGGCAAGAATATATATCTTCTATCTGTGTCTTTTCTCATTTTTCATCAGTTGATTTTGACAGGAGACATGTTCTTACATGGTCCTCTCACTTGTTGATCTTAATGTCTGTGCTACCTGTCTATGAAGCTTCATGTTCTTCATCCCCTGCAATGATCTTCTATGTGACATGGTGGCTGCATCTCTCAATACCTCGGACATCATGGATTGAGCTACAGCTGCAATGCTCAATAAATTTCCATGAGAGTACTCGGGATGAGGTGGTTACACATGGAGACTGATTCTAAGTAGACGGTGGACATCATCAACAAACACAACTTCTTCTCGGAGAATTTTAACTTTAATACATGATATGTACTTGTCGATGTCTTATCTATTTATTGATGGAAAAATCTCTCGTGTATTGCGTGAAGAAAAATATTGTAGCTAATCGTTGAAAATATTGTAGCTAATCGTTTGGTTTAACATCTTTTAATAGGGCTATCATCAAATCTCCTTATTTATGGGATGTACTTGATGTTTGATGTAGCATGTAAGAAGTTTAGCTTTCTATTTTAGAGAGAAAAAAAGGTCCATGCATATATCAAGCTTACACTGTTCAGGAGCATAGTAATGAAAACATGAAAGATTGTACGATTAAAAGTTACTGATATGGTAAACAGTCACAGGTTATTCTGCAACTATTGACATGACATGAATGCATTAACAGTTGATATTAAACATATTCCAGGCAAAAAATAATTTGGATTATTCCACGAGAAATAAAATTGTACAATAAAACAAATCCCATGAGAAAATAGATCAAAATAAAATTGTATATATTTTGTAGTTATTTTGTTTTCAGAATAAATAAAATAATGATATTGTTTTAAGACAATCAAAAGATTGTTGACATGACTTAAAACTAAACTAATATTAGTAGCACGAGGAACTACTACACTTGTTGATACTCAAAATTATATATGCTTATTTAATAAATATTTGTGAATAGTATTCTCACCATCAACAATGATAAAATTATAAAGTCTCAATTATATGAATTTTTTTTATCATAATTAAAATTTATAGAAAGTTATTTATTTAAATTTTTATTTATAATTTAAAATATTTTTTTAATCTCTTCTCGTATCATTAGCATTAATTATTTCATCTCTTAAAAAATAATATCATTAAATATTTAAATATTATAACATCTCATCCAATATTATTAAATAAAAATATTTTTAAAAATTATGACTGGTAAATATTGGTTTTGTTTATGAAATAAATATAAATTTTTGTTCTTTAAACAATATCATAAAAGAGAAGGGAAAAATAATAATCTTTAAAACAAAAAAACTTGCCTTGACAATGGCATGTAAGTATTTTTAATTTGTTGAGGGATTTATTTACAAATGTACAGAATTTTCCTACCCACTTTCGAGGGTTCTTAGTAGTGGTTTTCGAAAGGCGGAGTTGGAGATCGAGATCGAGAGGCAATTCCGAAAGCTCCAAGAATTTGGAGGAGTTGGTGATTCAGGGAATGGGAGATCCCAAGCCGTCCCATGAGAGGTGCCATCTCTGCTCGGGGCCTCTCTCCAAGGACCTGGTATCGCTGTTCGATGTCGTTTCTTCCTTTCTTTCTCGCGGACTGTGATTGGCTGTTGCTTCGTATTTCTTCTTTAATTGCATCTTATCTTCGATTTTCTGATCCCACCATGCGTCTGACGGAAGGAAACGAGCAGCTGGACCGTCGCACCGTTGATTCGAGATGGCTTTTCGATGGTGAATTCCCCAACCCCTATCTTGTTGATTCCGAGATTGGTCTTTGTTCTAAATATATGATTGAAGTTAATAAACGTGTTGTACGTATGTATTGAATTAAGGATGAAGCTATTGATGTATGTTGTTCACATGGAATCGAAAATTGGCTATCTGATTCTTTGAAGACCCAGCTGTCTTATCTGTTGTTATGTTATGATTAGATCGGTACCGCTATTGGTGGGACTGCGAGTGCAGTTTATGGATTTAACCATGGTATGTTTATTGATCTTCACAAGTTCCCTGAATTTTAGATTTATTGTTGACCCTACATTATACAATCATATTCATTTATCTCTTCATTTTGAATATCTTATTCTTTACGCCTCATGTAGCTTAGGTTATGTGCTTCAGATAGTTCTTTGCTCTTTCTGATCAAAGCTCTCATGAGATAAAATTAGTTGAGCTATAAACTTCTAAAATAATACTTGCCATTGTTACAATGTTTTTGACATCAATTTGGATTAGTTGGACCGTAGAGGACTTTGCAATTTGTTATGCCAATAACCATACCCTCAAATCTTTGATTCAGCTATGGCAGGTAAACGACCTGTGCATTGTCAAGTGAGAAGTCAACAAACCAATGGTGGAATTATAATTAGACAGGCCTACCTGATTGGTGGTCTATCTAAGAATATTGACAATTTGATGAGATTTTTTTTCTGCAACACTTAAATCCAGCATACGTCCAAGTCCTGTTCAAAAATTTTTTTGAACAGGACTTGGACATCTGAAGATTCAGAGGATGAATTGCATAACTAGTATAGATATCCATGTTATCCTAATCCACAAAATTGGGGCAAAGGATGCATCATTTTATAGGCAAAACTGTTTTTTCTCTTTATGTAGACAGTATTATTGGTTTTAAAAATAACATCAATGAAGTAGCCTTCACACCTCAGTCTCAGGCTTGCATGAGCGGATAGCCGCGGCCTATTACGTATCATCTTCAAAGTCTTCGCTGAGGTCTAATAATAGTTGCAGTGCTTTAGCACAAGTCAGGACCATGGATTATAAGTAAATTATTGCCTCTAACTACAACATCATGAACCGCTAGCATGCCATGGTGGACCACGCAGGCCCAGCATGGACTCCTTGCAGCACAACACTTTTATAGGCATCATTTTATCAATTTTTTGTTTTTTTATTCTGCAAAAAAATTGCCCATAACTTCATATACGTTTTGACCTTCATGCTTGTAATCCATGTATATTTTGTCAATTTTCGCAGTTATGCCTATCGTGAGGAGGTGGGTCAAGGGGCCTATGTGGTTACATTTTTTTATTGGTGTAAGTACATTAGTTCTATATCTTGTGTATTGATGCGTTAGTCTCTTTTCTTGCTTCGCAGTTGATTTTGACATGATTATTTTATGGTTACATTGCATGAATTAAGATCCTTCTGTTTTCTGATTTCATGCATCAGGATCCTTGTGAAGTGTGAAAACCTTGTCTTCTTGCTCAAGGTTTGCAGGTGGTTGAGTTATGGGAATGCCCGTGTGTCCCTGATATTTTCAGGATTACAGTATTGACTTGTGTAGATCCTGATCTGGACCAGCCAAAACTACCTAGTACAAACCATGTTTTTGCTCCCTTCTGAGGAAAAAGAACATTCTGCAGAGAAATATATACTAGCCTATACTGTTTTACACCCAATCCTAGTTACTTATGTTACCATCATAATTTTTGTGAGTCCTATTGTAAATCTTTATCATCATAATTTTTAGTTTGTCAGCTTTTGGACCAATTTAGTTACCTTGTGTTAATCCTCTTTGTGTCTAGGGAATGTACCTATAATAGAGGCTTCTTAATCAATTGTAGATATCAATATTTCTAGCTATAATAGAGACTGAAATTTGACATTTAGTTGGGCGATTAATTTTTAATGTGATTATCCATTTCTTTGATGTATGTGATGCTCTAGTGAGAGCTTAATGTTGCATGGCTGGCCCTGAGTGAATATTTTATCTTTGCAGGTGCCACCTGTAATTGTTTTCTCATCAGCTTGTGCTGGATTGGCAGGTCAGATTGTGCTTTTCTTTAGAATTTTCTAGTGGGTCATCATTGTATAAGAGTCATATGCTATGAAACATGGGTATATTGTACCATAATCCAAAAAAAAACCTCATTGCATGTACTTTAGGATATAATTAATATTCTTATATGGTGACTTTTGTAGAATTCAGTTACTATCTTATGTTTAAGCATAACAACCATATTCATGTAGCAAAGAATTAAGTAGATTGCGCACATAGTAAAGATGGTATATATTGCTATCAGTATGCCTAGAAACCTTATGTAGATGAACCATCACCTTCCTGTACACCATATTTAACGAATAATGTAGATATTGCTATGACATCAAATGTTTTAAACTATCAAACATGTGTCAAGAAGCATCCAAAAAGGACTGGTATCTGGCACCAAGTATTGTCATTTTGTTAATGGTACCCATACTGTTCCTTAGTCGGATGAACTTGTGTGGCATGCAAGTGGGTAGTCTGCCTTCCGGTACTGATATCTTGTGATTTCAGAAAAGGAAAACAAAAAACAATTAGATTAAATTGAAGGAGACCAAGAAGTAAACCAAAAACAGAAAATCCAAACTGTTATATACCTTTGCCTCCTTGTGCTTGGCCCTCAGTTCAAGGCTTCTTCCCCTTTTCCTTCTCCCTTCTCTGCAGCATTGGGATTTGGAAGACTCAATTGATTTAGATGACCAGGTAGATTATATGTTCCAACTGCTCCGAACAGAACAGTCTAGGGTGGAACACTGTCCTACTCAAATTTGTTTTGGATAGTCCATGTCGAGTTCCACAATTATATCATAACATATCAGCTGGTACAGGTGCTATACCATGATATGGCCTTCCCTGTTTGAATAGACATTGCAAGTGTTTTGAAGTTCCATTATTTATTGTTAAGGTTTACATTAAACTACATTTTTTTTATACCTTGATGTTCAGAAGCTTTTTATTTGATATTTGAATTTTGCAATATTCTTGGTTTTCACTCTTGTTTTAATTATACACGCACTTCATGATTGTGGCTATTTATAAGTGTTGGAAATAACATCTTTAAAGATTTGATATGGATGAATGTGGTTCTCGAGGAAACTACTAGTAAATACTATTCTATTGTCAGGTTAAAATCACAAGATCTTGTTTTGTTCAACATAGTCAAGTGACCTTTTTCAGTATCCTTCATTGTTAATATAATTAGTTTCAACTAGAATTCTTCACAAACACCTGGGCATTTAAGATGGATTTTCTATGTTTTTGGTTCCATTTGTTCTTCCACTTTCCTGTAAACTTTTATTTCTCTCAAATCCATCTGGATGCATAAGATAAGGTTTTTTCTGATCTAGTGTTCTTTTGTTAATTTGTTTATGTTTACTATGAATGTAGCTGCTATAATATGACAAGTTCTCTCTCAGTTTTTGAGCTTTCTCTAATGTTTTGTTTCTTAGCGTAATCACTTTTGTTTGGTTGCCAACTCCACACTTCCAAGAGATTTTCCCATTTGTTACAGCGATTGATTTCAATTTTGTTGTTGTTTATGATTGATGATTTAGTTCCTGCTGTTGCATTAGGGAAATAGATAATCTTGATCCACTTTTGCGATAACATTGTTCAGATATTTTGGTCTCCGTTCACTTGACAGTCCAAATATCTTCAAGTCTTGTTATTTCCACTTGGTTGGATTCTCTGTTTCATTGTTAACAGTGTCATTCGCATAAAATTTAGAAGACCTTCATGAAGTTCATTCCGTGATCCTAGGAGAGATTGTCAGACATCTGCCCCTTTTTTGCGAGAAATTTGGTCCCCATAAATTATTTACTAATCCAACATTTTATGGCTTTATTTTTTTTCTTGACGAACTCGGTAAATTACAGCTACCAACAACGGGTGCCAAGTTATTTGCAGAGCATGTTATTGGCCATAGATCGACTTGGTATGGCCCATGTGCTTGCCATGCCACACTATTCTAGTTTGTTCCAATCTTGTGCACAGGCACGTGCCTGGTTTCCCTGCACAAAAAAAGTATATTGGCATATGCGCGCGCACACACACTGCTGATGACTCTTACTCGCTAGCATTGTAATGGCAATCCCTTGATATCGAACAATGTCTGATTGGGTTCACCTTCTGCATCAGAAACTTCATTTTTTTCTGTTATCCTTTGTTTGCCTTTAAAATCTTGCGATGACCGAGCTTTGTTAATTTTCGATATTGGTTATGTTTTCCATTATCTGCTAATATTCAGATAATTACGGTTACATGGAGTATGTTATGAGAAGATGGTTCTTAACTTCTTTTATTTTCACATGGTTCTGAACAAAACTTAGTATATACATGACATTTTTATTTGTTTGAAAGATAGTTTAGCATATTTTCTTGGTCTTCTCTATTAACTGTGGTTCTGATACTCGTCATGGTTCGCAGGAGGGGCAATGCCAGCACTTGCTCAACTGGTCTCCTCATCATACCATGCTGCTATGTCATCATCAGCACTGGCACATTCCTCCTCTCAGGAGGATAACATGCATAAGAGAAAAAGTTCGTCCCCTTTATAAGCCTTGAAGGCGTTCCTTTTTCCCCCTCGAGCATTTGCTGCTGTGCATTTGTTCATCTCGTATATGCTTCTCGACTAAGTTTGCTGTCATAAATTTCTTCCCTTCTGTTTTATAATAGTTGAAATTAAGAAATTACATATGGACTGTATGTTAATAATTATTATTGCTTTTGAACATTTGGCACATTTCCATCTCTCAACCCGTCAACCTTGAGTGTTTAGCAGGTCATATGGCAGACTCTACTACTCTCGTAGTGCAGATTGTGCTGTATTCCATCTCAATGTTGTGGCCTAAATCAAAATTAGTATGCCAATCTTTCTGTGCCACAAATGTAGGGATGTTTTTTTTAGATCTGGATTCATCTAACTTCAATTGGGACACTCATTAATTAGATTTGGAATCTGTGCAAATCAAAGGTAATGGACCTGTGATGAGTTGGAATACTTGACTAGCTAGTTCAAATAGGATGAGATTTATTGGGATTAATACTGGTAATACAAAGTTTCTGTTGTTGTATTATTGAAAGGTCTCAGGGTTTAAATTTAAATTCATATCTATCTTATTTTTTTTATTTTTTTTTTTAAATTAATCGGTAATAAAATAAATAAGAAATTTGTGGGTACGCTACTCGTTTGACATTAACAATAAACACCACTAACGGTTGCTGCACCAGGTTGGATCATACAAAAAATCGACGGCTAGGATCTCGCCAAGCAGGTGTTGCGCGCTCGATCTTCTCCTAGTCATTGTTCGGTCGGGTGTGTTAATTAAACCAAGGCGATCCCTCTCTGCTGCTGCTGCTGCTGTTGTGCTCTGCCAACAACACCGCGGAAGAGACGAAGTGTATCCGCTCACGAGGGACCGATGAGGACCCATCGCATCCGAGTTTCTATCGCGATCTCATGTTTCTGCTTGTTGTGGGTCGGCGGATTCACCTCCCTTCCTCCCCGCGAGCTGTTGGGAATCGCCCCTCAAGGTGCTCTCTTCGATCGCGCTTGTTCCTGGTTCTATTCGTCTTTTTTTCTTTCCCTCGATCTCCCTTTTTCTTGGGGAATAAAATGGCTTACTGTTTTGATTGCTCCGGTTGGCAGATGAGGGTTACTATAAGTCCGATGTGATCAAATGCAAGGATGGATCCAAGAAGTTCACCAAGCAACAGCTCAATGATGAATTCTGCGACTGCCCCGATGGAACGGACGAACCGGGTCAGTGTCTCCGTGGAGGGGACCTTTTTCAGTTTCTTTACCGCTTCTCTTATTCTTGATGAGGTTGATGTTGCAAATTTGTTCCCGTGTTGTGGGTTTCATGGACAATGGTAGGATTCTACCAAGAAGGTCTTAGGATTAGGTTTTCTGGCGATCCATTTGTTATTGTTTTATTCGATTCATTGGATTTTCTGAGTTCGGTTCTTCTTCTTGGGGTTTGCAGGGACATCAGCCTGCCCAGAAGGGGAATTCTATTGCCGGAACGCCGGGCACATTCCGCGGACCATCTTCTCTTCTCGTGTGAATGATGGCGTTTGCGGTATAAAAATCACCATTTTTTTCTTTTTCTTGTTCTCTTTGAACAACTGCTTGGTTCCACCTGAAGCTTTCTGCTTATGCATGTGTTTTCAAACAGGAAATATAAAATTTACTCGTTCTACGCTGTAATGGATCAGTAGAGGAAGAAAAATAGTAAATTTGTTGTTGCTTTTTGGTCCTTCAAGGACCATCTTTTAGGAGGATATCAGTTGCTGTAATTCAGGGGCACTTTTGAACACTTGATTATGGAATTCGAATTGTGATCACGTGCTATACATCGCATACTGAAGTATGCAAAATTCCTTTGTTATTTCTTTTATACATTAATTCTTCAGTTTCACAACTAGGTTCAAGTATCTAATTACAGATATTAGCTGCTAGCAGAGTTATTTTAGTCCTGCAACTCACAAAATGCTTGGCATACAGTATTAATTCATGATGCAATATATATTATCCGAGTAAGTTTCATCGTAATGATAACATGCATTAGCACATTATATATTCTCCTATATTTGGATTTTTTCTGTTTTTGGTTTACTCATGGAAATTATCTCACCCAGAATCAGAAAAGAGAGAGAATAAGATGAAAAATGGATGCTAATATGTTCTTCTAGATTTAGACCTTTCTGTTTTTGGTTTACTCATGTAAAATTTTGAAGTCACCTAGAAGTAGAAAAGAAAGAGAGAGAGAGAGAGAGAATAAGATGAAAAATGGATGCTAATATGTTCTCCTATATTTAGACCTTTTCTGTTTTTGGTTACTCATGTAAAATTTTGACCAACCCAGAATTAGAAAAGAGAGAGAATAAGATAAAAAATGGATGCTTATATGTTCTCCTATGTTTAGAGCTTATGTGTTTTTGGTTTATTCATGTAAAATTTTAACTCATCTAGAATCAGGAAAGAGAGAGAATCAGATGAAAAATGGATCCTAATCTTTGTTTACACCAGGAGCTTCTGTCAATAAATTCATTGTTGCCTGCTACATGAGATTGTTATTAGTGCATCTAATCCCACTAGTAGAATCTTAAATATTATCTTCCAGTAGGTTCAGTCAATAAATGAATTGTTGTCTGCTACTTATAAGTACATTAAATGCCACAAATACTATTACTGGGTTTTTGTATTGTATTGTCTTCTTCAGGCAAGAACTATATGATTTTAGGTTCATCTGCAGAGATTTTAACCTTCATGCTGCATTTGCTTATTTTGTTACATATAGATTGCTGTGATGGGAGTGATGAATATAATGGCAAATCAAACTGCCCAAATACATGTTGGGAGGCTGGGAAATCAGCACGTGAAAAATTGAAGAAGAAGATAGCAACACATCAGGATGGGTTAGCCATCCGGAAACAAGAACTTGAAAAGGCAAAACAGGCATTTGCCGAGGATGAAGCAGAGCTTTTGAAGCTGAAAAATGAAGAGAAGATACTTAAAGGACTTGTTGAGAAACTTAGAGGTGTAATATTGTTCATACAAATTTCCAATTGAGTTTTAAATTCAATTTTTTTGTTATTGGTGTCCAGATGACTTTTATAAATATTTATACATTTTTTAGAAGTTATGTTATGTTCTAATTAATAAATTACAAAAGTTCTGGATTCTTTGTAACTGCTGGATTCAAATTTCAGTGCCTCACCTGTCACATCATCTGACAAGAAAACAATAGACTACTAAATGCTGCAAACTCAGCTATCAGATTTAACTTGAATGCTGGATAGGTCACTGCAACTGTATCCTTTGAAGATTTATTGGAACTTCACTATTATTGTTTCTGATGACCCAACTTGAAGGCATAAGAAATAGTTATACAGTAATTGCAATGTATCATCAAGTTTTTTTAATGACAGTGAATTGCCACTTCTTCAGCTATGTGTGGGGCATCTTAACTATTTTCTGTCACCGCTCTAGATCTTTAATTTTTAGTCATAAATCATGTAGAAAATATTTTTTTTCTCGCTACAGTGTTTAATTTCCAGGTTTTCCTGCATTCTGGTGATTGTGGCATTTATACACATTTTTTTGCCCTTTTTATTGCTTTCTACACCTAGCTGTCTGTTTCAACTTTAATGCTTGTATTAGACAAGAATTGAGGAGTTTTTCATATATACCTTGATTAGTTAAATTGAAGGTGTAGACATGCATGCAGTTCTACATTTATTGAAAGACAGAACTAGTCCCTTTACGTTGCTTTTAGTGACAATTGTGACTCATGCATGCTAGGTCCATAACATATATAAAATTTGCATCTTGAGCATCCTATGAGGGTTGTTGCTTTGAGTTGAAGACCAATTAACTGAGCTATTATGTTTAGTTTATTTCATGTGGTAGCTACCATGCAACTCAACATGATCCAATTTGTGATTGCATTAGATTAACTGGTATCATATCAAGTAATGTAGATGCCGTAATATGACGTAATATTTCTTTTGACATGATTTTTCTCTACTTGCTATGCAGAGCACAAAGAAAGGATAGAGAAAGCAGAAGAGGAAGAACGTTTGAGAAAGGAAAAGGAAGAAAAGAAACAGAGAGAAGCTGAAAGAAAATCAACCGAGCAGAACAGACCATCAGAGGAATCAGCACAATATCAATCCGAGGGCACTCAGGACACACCGATGGAAATGAACAGTCAGGTTAACTTAGTCTTTAAATTTCTTACTATGTTATACAACTATGCACCAGCTGTAATCATGCCTCAGGTGTTTATTTCTGATTTTCTGACACTCCAACCAGCTGTACCCATTTTTCAAAAGAGAAAAAAGATCAAACAGGTTACTCTATTATAATGAGGATGAGCCTTGGTAAAATAGTAAAGGTGTTCCTTTACAATATGAGTTTTCAGGGACTTTCATGCACTAGGCACATCTGAGTAAAGTTGTTTCTTTGCAACAGCTATTGAGGGCTGTCAACAGTTATTATGGAATTATAACGACCTAAAAAGTGGCATGGTGATAGACAAGTAAGTTAGATGTTCAAAAGACACATTGGATTGGTATGTACTGACCAGTATTTTATGGTTCCTAGCAAGAATATTTGATAACTGATTCTTTTCTTTTTTAAAATTTTTTAATTTTTTTTAATCTGGGCAACTGTTGATAGCTTTCAAGAGCTGTTGATTGTCAGCAAACCTCCTCCTCATTCTCCTCCTCTATGTTGATGCTATTTTTGAACCACCATAGGTTGGGAAACTCGCGGGCGGTTAGGGCCCTCTAGGACTTGGTTTGTAAAGAAAATTCCCATTTTGTTCCCCATGAAGACTAGTATCATCTCCATGAAGTCTGACAGGATCAAAGTGTAGTGCGGTATGGGTGGTACAGTTGGTGTTAATTGTTGCAGCAGAGGTGGGTTTGTGCTGATGTGGTGGGACCAAGTCTTACCGAGCTTATGGGACTTCTTATCAATTTACACAGTTGTCATCATCAATCCAGGCTTGGGAAGAGTTGGAGTTTCTCTGGGTTTTACAACCACCTGAAAATGTAGCATAAAAACCATTCGTTGGAGCTCTTACACAGGCTTTGAGGTTCCTTGTTACTTCCCTCGCTATCCACCAGGCTGTATAGATGAAAAAAAAGATATTAGAGCTGAAAATTAATGATCTTTCAGGAGGATGCAATAGGGAGGTGGCTAGCTAAGGTTCATTAGCTCAAAAAGGGCAACCACAAACA